GTGCAGACATGGCTTCTACGCCAAGCTAAGCAAGTGCCGCTTTGCCCAGCACAAAGTGGATTTTTTAGGACACTACGTGTCTGACCACGGTCTCCACATGGACGACGCGAAGATCGCTGCTATTGCGGAGTGGCCCGCTCCCACATCCGCCAAGCAGCTTCGCAACTTCCTAGGCCTGACCAGCTACTATAGTAACTTCATCCGGGGATACGCTAGGTATTCCTACGTCCTTACCTCCACCCTCCTCCGGAAAAACCCACCCTGGGCTTGGACACCCGTCCACGAGGACGCCTTCCGCGCCCTCAAGAAGGCGATGACATGCGCACCGGTTCTTCACCTACCCGATTTTGACCGCCCTTTTATCCTTACCACCGATGCGTCATACTTTGCTGTAGGAGCAGTGCTTTCTCAGGTCTTCCTCTCATCTCCTCATTCCTCTCATCCTCGTATCCCTCGCTTCCCACCACCTACCCCTACCACTGCTGCCTGACTCACGCCTACTCGTCCAGCTACTGACGAGCCTTCTATTGACTATTTTCCTACCATCGCCGAGGACGACACTGTCGAGTCTCGCTCAGGTGATTGTCCGATAGCCTTCTACTCCCGTCAGCTCCTGCCCGCCGAGATAAACTACACTGCTGATGAACGTGAGGTTCTCGCAGTAGTTTATGCCGCTCGGCATTGGCGTCACTACCTGCACGGGGCACCATTCACTGTGCGCACGGACAACTCTATTGTCCAGGCTTTTCTGACAAAGCCGAAGCTCACTCCTCGACAGGCTCGATGGTGGCGCGACCTATCCGAGTTTAGTTTCACCACTGAGCACATCAAGGGTGAGACTAATCGGGTCGCCGATGCCCTATCCCGGCGCCCTGACCACGACCAGGAGCACATCCAACTCTCTTCCATCTCGGTCAGCACCGTCCACCACTCGGTGTTCGACGAGTTTCGCACTCAGTACCGCCACTGCCCCGACTATCACGACATCCACGCGACCCTTCGGAGTGGCAAGACCGTCCCGAACTACTCTCTCGGGGACAACGGTCTTGTGTACTGGCACGGTTCACAGGGCACCAGAGAGTCCCGTATTTGTGTTCCCTCCACTGGACAGCTACGTGTCCGAGCAGTAGCAGAGTTCCATGCCCAGGCAGCTGTTGGTCATATGGGCTTCCACAAGACGTTAGCTCGTGTGAGCTGCCTGTACGTCTGGCCGAAGCGCAAGGACTTTATGAAGGACTACGTCGCAGAGTGTCCCACTTGTCAGGAGGTGAAAAGTGCGAACCACCTACCTTATGGTTTGCTCCAGCCTCTTCCTATCCCTGAGGGTCGTTGGCAGTCCATCTCGATGGACTTTATCGGTCCTCTTCGACCTCSGACCCCCCGCGGTCATGATGCTATCCTGGTCCTCGTCGACCGCTTCACGAAGCGTGCACGCTTTGTTTCGTGCCGCTATGCCATCAGTGCACGTGAGGTCGCCGACATCGTATTTGACCGAGTCGTGCGTGACCACGGCTTACCTCTGAGCATCATATCTGACTGTGACCCGCGCTTTATCAGCCGATTCTGGCGACGGCTCCACGAGGTGTACGGCACTCAGCTCCGCTTCTCCTCGTCTTACCATCCTCAGACTGATGGTCAGACCGAGATCACGAACAAGACTCTCGGGGATATTCTTCGAAAGATTGTTCGTGACGACCAGCAGTGGGATCTCCATCTTGCCCACGCGGAGATAGCCTACAACCACGCCGTCTCGCCAGCCACGGGGTCGTCACCTCACTATTGCGACCTCGGCTATCACCCGCGTGTTCCCGCGGACTTCCTTCGACCATCCCAGATGCACCCCGACACGAGTTGTCCCGCGCTGGATGATTGGGTTGCACACATGACGTCGATTACGAAGATCGCACATGAGCACATAGCCGCTTCCCAGACTCGCATGGCAGCACGTGCGAACCGATCGAGGATGGATCACCCATTCAAAGTCGGTGATGATGTGCTTATCGACGCCCGCCACTTACAGCTCGAAGCGGACACGCTTCGCAAATTTCGACGTCGCTTCTTTCGCCCATGCCGCATCCTCCAGGCCGTTGGTTCTGATACGGCATCTAGCCCGGTCAACTTTCGTGTGAAGCTGCCCGACTACCTACGCCAGACTCGTGTGCATGATGTCTACCACGTCTCGTTACTGCGTCCTTACCGCAGACCGTCTGAGCGTTTCGCTGGACGACCATACGAGCGCCCTCCACCCATCATGGTGGACGGCCACGATGAGTTCCTCGTTTTAGACATCATTAGTCGCCGAGTCACCGACGACAACCCTCCCCAAGTCGAGTATCTCGTACGTTGGAAGGGTTACCCTGATGAGGAGGCTACCTGGGAGCCCCTCGAGCACTTGCAGCACGCTCGCATGGTGGTGCGTGCCTATGACCGTGCTCGTCGTGCTGGGTTCACTGCTCCTCCTCAGCCCACTGATCCTCCTCCTTCTCCTCCGGCTGAGGAGACCGCTGAAGTTGAGCCTGCTCCATCTGAGGCAGACCTTCAGCGGCAGCCGGATGCCTCTGAGCGTCCACAGCGCACTCGTCGTCGTCCTGCTCGATACGACGATTGACTCTGACTTACCTTCCCACGTATTTGACTTCTCAGTACTCCATCCACATCAGTTTTGCTACTTCAGCTCGTCGACGCTGCGGCTCTTCCTCGACGACATTCCGGACTTCTCATCGTGGACGTCATCGGCGGCTTCATGGACTTCGTCACGATCAGCTCTGCCTACTTCAGACGTCGCCACTCTCTTACCACTCTACCCTGTACAGTACCCTGCTTGTGTCGCATGATGGTCTCCCTTTAGTCGGGTTTCTCTGAGTTGGGCTCTCCCTTGGTATACGCATAGGCATCGGGACCGTAGCGTTGCCCTGGCTTCCCATCTTACGGATCTAGCTCCGACTTCCCTCACTTTAGGAGTCATTTGCATGATTCCCTTACCCATCATCTTTCTACCCTTCGCCGGCCCTCACGCCCTAGTTAGGCAGCCCCGCATGCTTCATCTAGGTGCGCCCAGTATACCAGGCTCCMTTGTTCCCTTGCATGGTCGACCCTCCATAGCGGTCACCCCTTAGTCGAGCATTACCCGCCCTGATGGTCTATCTGTTAGGGTCATTGGTTCTGTTCGCTCCTAGTTCCCTACCCTCATTGAGCCTGATGACATGTGTTTTCCCCTGTCACTCTGTGTGGATGCCCTTAGGAGTTTTCGACCCCTAGGCTGCATTCGCCACCCTCAGAGACCATCCCRCCCTTTGGTGTGCGACACACTTCTCATRTGACATATGGTTGTCTTGTTGATTGCTTTGTTGCTCTCAGACTGAGGCTACTGCCTCCGACATTTCTAGGATTTAGTTGTTCTGCTTTTGCTGTTCTTAGGACTTATACACTAGTCAACTTGTTACCAGACTGAGGCCAGTGCCTCCAACATTTTAGGATCTAGTTGTCACTACTTTTTGCTTTCCTAGGACATGTATGTTAGTTAGTTGCTCCTACTTTCACTTAGGCTGTTAGCTGTGACATTGCTGCTTTGTGACATTTTATATCCTAGGTTGCATCGCATGGACTCAGCATGGAGCTTGCTCCGCATCCTAGACTACTCAGGTTTTCTTTTCTTTGGTAGAGTTCCGCTTCTTGGCGAAAGCATGTTTGTATCTAGGCGATCCATCACAGGCCGAGGATCGTGTAGCGGACCTCGGGTTGGCCTGTGAGACCAGCCCCTTGGCCTGTTCTCACAGGCCTGTGTTATATTCGGGGTAGGCCAGTCCAGGCCGGTACCTCTGTCGGTACCAGCCAGTCCAGTCCAGTCCCGTCAGTCCGCTGGGGTATACCCCAGCCATTGTCTGTTTTCTATCTCATTCCTCACTTGCACAATTTGGAGTACGTGCGTTGGAGTCTTGCGTGGGGAGCTGCGTTGTGCCATCTTGCTCCCCCTTCTTCCTCCATCTCCATCTCTGTCACCAACGGAGCACCACACCTGGTGGGTCCGCTACAACCTACGACCCTAAGAGAGATTCTTATTCAGAAATATGAGAGTGGGATCAAACGTCTCTTAAGATTTGAAAGTAAAACCCTCAACCTCACTGAGTGAAATGATTTTCAATTCAAGATAGAGACTCTAGTAGTACTTCATTGCCGAAGTAAATTCCATAATTATATTTTCAGGCGAAGGAAACTTGATCCGACCACTCTTGTCCAATCATTGAGAATCTACTCTCCTTTTGATCCAATGATTGCGCAATGGCTAACATACATTTGAATGTTCGATATTGAAGTCTAAAAAATAACTATTGCAAAATATCGGGCGGACGGGCTAAGTAGGATTGATTGAAACAACTCCAAGGATTAAGTGAAAAACTCTGTACCCGTGGATGAATTTCTAAAAAATGAGGAAGATCGACTGAGTATAAAATTTATGTCACGATCTTGCTGATGCGTCTTCTCAGCAAGGGAGCTCTGTGTGGAATGCTCCCAACTTTTACCAAGTTTGCCCTGATCAATTCAAAAAGGTTTTCGACATGTCGTTGAAGTTCTTAGAGTATCGAGCGAGACGTGTTTTGTGATCAATGTGTTGGTTGAGAAAGATTTCCAGGCGATGGTACCGACGAACGAGGAAGGCAAAGTACGAACGACTTTTAGGGAGAAAAAAAGTACGACAAGACATATAGAGATGAGATTATGGTTCAGTAAAAAAATAAGAAAGAACAATAAAAAATTATATTAAAAAAAAAATAAAAAAATTATTATTGGATATGGTAATCTATTTAAGAAAAACGAAAATGACATTCCGAAGAGAATCGTCTAGGGAATTGCAAGATAACTAGACGTGATTGCAACTCTTCATGACGAAATTGTCGTTGAGCATCACTCTGCGAGAGTGATGCTACCAAAAATACGATATCTTTCTTTTTTAAAACGGTATGAGTAAAATGGTTGCGGATTACTGCAACTCATGCATTCCTTGTCAGGAGTGTTTCAACCATAAGTATGTTGAACCTCTCCACCCGCAGTACGTTGTTGAACCAAGAGTTGTGGTGCACCTTGATCTTGTGGTTATGCCACTATGAATGAATTAGTATTGATT